ATCTTAGCTTTCATCTCCAGACTTTATCTATTAGGAATATTTTTGGGGGGGTGGAGCTAAAAATCTTATATTTCTCATTAACAAAAACTTTTTCCCCATCCCCTCTCTCTCTGAAAGGGCAAACTGTGATGGCTCTCTGGGGTATATCTGTATATGGGAAAATTATGATATACATGATGAGAACACCTACATCTTAAATGTTTTCTCTAATATTAATGGGCCGAGTATGTCTGATGCAATATATTTGCATTTGCCTTGTAGACCACGGAGATCATGTTTGGCATCATTGGAATCCATCAATTCAACCTCAATGTCGTGGTTACCATCATGATATTAGTTCCTTCATCTACTTTGAGTGGATTTATAGTCTTTTTGGAAAAAGTAAGAAATGTTACCAACTGTATTATTAATTTTGAATATGTAGCCTATTAAAGTGCTTTGCCCACAGCTGGAGAGATAGAAGGTTGATTAGTGGGGATGGGAAGCAACAGCAAATGGGCATGAGGGGTCCCGTTGGGATGATGAATTCTAAAGTTGAATTGTAGTGATGCTTGCACAACTCTGTCAACTTGCTAAACATCCTTGAGTTGAACACTTAACATGGGTAAATTTTATGCAAAAAAAATAAAAAAAATAGAACCTCAAAAAAGCTGTTAAACAAAGAATTGTCCTGTGTACTTTGTAAAATGTAGGCGTTTGGTAAATGCTATTCAAATCTAATGCCAGATTTTAAAAAGCTGTCTAGTTCAATTCATTATCCACTGGGAGGATAAACTCATACCGCACCACTCAATCATTCAAAAATATATACTGTGGTAGTCACTGTGCTACTAATTAGGGAAACCCAACGTAAAGGTAGCACAGAGCTTCCTTTCACGGAGCTTAGGAAAACAAAGACAGAGCAACCTTAAGCAAGTCAATGCAAGGAGCTCAAAGCTTACATAGGAGAAGCTTGTTTACAAGGGAGAACATACAAAGCACAGCTGCTGTGCTCTGGAGAGTCAGAGAATTCTTCTGCGGAAGTGATGCTTGAGTAAATTCCTAAAAGATGAGAAAGAATTAATTAATGGCAGAGTGGAACAGGAGATAAGCGTGTTCTGCAGAGAACAAGCAAAGACACTGAAGCAAAGCCATTGAAGCAGGAAAGGCCAGGAGACATTAAAGAAATGAAATGTGACTCAAGTGGAGAGAAATGTACTGAGAGGCCAGGGCTGGATAGTTTAGTCAAGAACACACTTCTGGGGCCCTGCACCATCCTGGATGAAATGGCTTTAAAAATAACAGAGAGCGTTTCCCTAATTGTTTATGTCCTTAGGGAACTGAGAAAGCTTTCTATCTGCAAAAATACTTTTCTGCTGGTTGAGCAATGCCTGGAATTCTTGATTGGAAATTCATCCCTTTGCTTAAAGTATTTTCCTCCTAAAATAAAAGTAGACTTTCAAGTTGAAATACATTAATCTTGGTTTCACATATTATTTAGAAGGAATGAGTTACTTTCTGAATGAATTGATTGAGGAAGAAAGAACAATGTGATGGGACTAATAAATGGGAAGATAGTCACCATCAGGGTAAGAAGGGTCCCTGAAGAGGGTTCTGTGGCACTTAGGACAAATATTGCTGACCCCCAGAAATTTTCACAGTGCCAGCACCTCTCTCTACTATGTTTTCAGTAGAATTTTAGCAAATGTTAAAACCAAGAGGTTAAAAAGAAAGAATTGGAAGAGAGGAACAGACATGTGCTCATTGAGAGACAGTAAGACTTGAATAGGAAGCTCTCTTTTTCTCTGAAGGGAATAGCTTTGTCTCCAATGCACATAAAGAAACAGAGCTTAGTGGGGGAAATAGTCAATAAGTGAAATTTCATACTATGTAAATGCAAATTAAAAAGCTTATAAGTTTTCATTTAGCAAATTTTATTTTTGTCTTTTCAGAGAGCTCAGGAGCAGTCCGCAGAATTTCCAGACCAAAATTATGAGCTGAGTGAAGTTGATCTTCTAGTATGCCTGATAGTAAGAAGGCCTTTCTATCTCACCACATATTCCTTCAGATGGCTATCATTTACTATAATTTCTTGATCTTGTCTGAAGCATGCAAACTTTGGATGTGTTTTTAATAGTCTTAGATAAAGCAATTACATTTAGATTTCCTTCAGATGGCTATCATTTACTATAATTTCTTGATCTTGTCTGAAGCATGCAAACTTTGAAAGTGTTTTTAATAGTCTTAGATAAAGCAATTACATTTAGACATGATTCTAAACCTTAGAGTTACTTCTTATGTGCATGAATGAACTATGTAAGTCCAGAATTCAATACAAAATTAATTTTTTTGTTTGTTTAAATTTGAGAGAGCTTGTAAACAATTCAGATGCAATACAACTTAAATTCTTTGAATTATAAAAGGCAAAAGTCAAAGAACAAAAGTAAAAGGGAAAAATGATTAAATTGGCGTATTTAGGCTAAAGAAAGCTACTGTCTTTTAATACTATGTGTCAGTACTTTTCTAGGCATAGGAGCAAATATAGACAGAAGTCCATGCTCTCATGGAGCTTATCTTCCGGGGGAAGGAGACAGGTAATAAACTAAATAAATAATGTATACCGTGTCAGGTGAGTGGTCAGGAGAGGCTTGGAAAAGAGCATTCGAATAGGAGGTGGCAGGAGCGAATCTGGCTTGTTCCAGAGTGAGCTCGAAGGCCAGTGTGGTTGTGGCAGAGTAACAAAGGGGGAGAGTAGTAGGAGAGATGGTCATAGAAGTAATAGGGTAAAGTGTGGGGTTCGGAGAAGGGAGTTACTCCGTGTTCTGGGTCACGCTAAGGACTTTGACTCTACTTTGAGTAATGGAGGAGTCACTGGAGGNCCTGATAGTAAGAAGGCCTTTCTATCTCACCACATATTCCTTCAGATGGCTATCATTTACTATAATTTCTTGATCTTGTCTGAAGCATGCAAACTTTGAAAGTGTTTTTAATAGTCTTAGATAAAGCAATTACATTTAGACATGATTCTAAACCTTAGAGTTACTTCTTATGTGCATGAATGAACTATGTAAGTCCAGAATTCAATACAAAATTAATTTTTTTGTTTGTTTAAATTTGAGAGAGCTTGTAAACAATTCAGATGCAATACAACTTAAATTCTTTGAATTATAAAAGGCAAAAGTCAAAGAACAAAAGTAAAAGGGAAAAATGATTAAATTGGCGTATTTAGGCTAAAGAAAGCTACTGTCTTTTAATACTATGTGTCAGTACTTTTCTAGGCATAGGAGCAAATATAGACAGAAGTCCATGCTCTCATGGAGCTTATCTTCCGGGGGAAGGAGACAGGTAATAAACTAAATAAATAATGTATACCGTGTCAGGTGAGTGGTCAGGAGAGGCTTGGAAAAGAGCATTCGAATAGGAGGTGGCAGGAGCGAATCTGGCTTGTTCCAGAGTGAGCTCGAAGGCCAGTGTGGTTGTGGCAGAGTAACAAAGGGGGAGAGTAGTAGGAGAGATGGTCATAGAAGTAATAGGGTAAAGTGTGGGGTTCGGAGAAGGGAGTTACTCCGTGTTCTGGGTCACGCTAAGGACTTTGACTCTACTTTGAGTAATGGAGGAGTCACTGGAGGGTTTTAAGCAATGTGATATGATCAAACATGTGTGTTAAAAGAGTAGCTCTCCTTACTGTGTTGAGAACAGATGTTTAGGGCAAGAGGAACAGGGGAAGACCAGGTAGAAAGGTGTTGCAATAATCCAGGTGAGAAAATATAATGACCTGGACCGGGGTGGGAGAAGGGGGGATGAGAAGTAGTTAGTTAGGTTATAGATAATTTTGAAGATAGAATGGATAGAATTTATTCTCAGACTGAATATAGGTTGTAAGAGGGAAAAAGGAGACAGGTTCTACTAAACTGGATCATGGTTTGTTTTCTCTCCCAAGTTATAACTATGATTCACAACTATATTACCTGCCGACAAAACGGCACCGATTTAATTCAAATGTTTAAATAATATTTGTGAACTTATGCACAAATATAACTGTTTTTCTCTGCTCCTAGCCTTACTTTCAGGCTTTGCTATTCGTTTTTGTTCTAAGATGCATGGAACTAAAATGTGGAAAGAGAATAATGCGAAAGGATCCTGTTTTCAGGTCAGGATAAAATTTAATTTCGTACTTAATATCATATTTTAATAGTCCTGGATAGTGGCTGTACTATCAACTTGTTAATACAGATTTATATTTACAATGCAAGCAGCAGAATAATCATCCTCATGGGCAGATGGCTTACTGTCAAGAAACAGGACTCCCAGGCACAGTTTTAAACTGAGGGAGACTTGCAGTCTTTCAAAAATTTAATGAGCACCCAAATATGCCATTCTCCCATCTAGGAGAGTTATACATCCTTGAGCAGAAGAGATGGGATGAAATTGATGTAGGAACATAGTTCAGAGTGTCTCACAAGTGGCGAGACTCTAGAATGGGTGGGCAGTAAAAGATGCTGAAAGGAACACCTGGTTGGTTCCTTTCAGCATCTGAATTTTAACAAGGAAGGAGCAGTGCTTGACAACAGATTTGAAAGGGTCAAAGATGCTTACTGGAAAAATGGCAATAACACTGAGAAAGGGATTCTGGCTAGTGGGAGGAGAGCCCTTGACAAAAGCAGAAGCAACACTGACAGAGTCATCATCACCACCCATCTACTGAAAGAAAAGATGATGGTAAAATCACAGGGACCCAGATTTTTGATACATCTTTGCCAATTAGGGAACCACATGTAACATATTTCATTTCCTCTACAGAATTTCCCCCCAGAGTAGAGATGTTCGACCAAATCCAGAAGAACCTATAGATGAAGATGAAGATGTTCAAGCAGAAAGAGTTAGAACAGCAACTGCCCTGACCACTTCAAACTTAGATGAGGTAGAAAAACAAGTGACAAATTGGATGTTAATGGAAACATTCAAGACTAAAGTTTGAAATACTGGTTTTCGTTTTGAAAGTTTGGAGTTCGGTGCATTTTTGTAATCCTTAATTATGCAGGCACTTCTTTAGAAAGTCTTGGAAGTTGAAAAAACACACAACATATTCTTCTTTTGAGAAAAATGGGTTTTGATCATTAGAGCTATAGTTTCAAAAGCCAGAAAAACCTCATGAATTGAAAAATGTGAGATTTTTTATAAAATGCTAAGTAGAAATTAAGATTTGAAGGGTTATTCTTTTATTTGACACAGATGTTATGATGTTTCCAAAAGCTTAGCCACTTCTGTTTGGGCAAGGCAGTGAGCTGGTTTTCATAACACTACACTGTTTTCTTAGTCTTTTTAGAAACAAGAGATATTGTCTATGTTAATGAATGCATATTATATCTGTAACAAGCCATGTAGACTGTTCTCAACTCAAAATATGGTTTGGTTTATGACATAGGGCATGATAGGTTCCAGCGGGGAGAACGTAACAACATAGAGTCTCTGAAATGTAAGAGGAAAATCATGCTGTCATCTCTTCTAGAAACCAGTCATAATTGCCAGCTGTCTGCACAAAGAATATGCAGGCCAGAAGAAAAGTTGCCTTTCAAAGAGAAAGAAGAAAATAGCAGCAAGGAATATCTCCTTCTGTGTTAAAAAAGGTTTGGAATAATCACTTTCCAAATTAACCATCATTTTTAGAAATACCCACTGAACATCCATGTCACAGTCACTATTTTAGTTGCTGAAGCATTCATTCATTCATTCATTCATTCAACATATTTTTTTTTTTCCTTTTTGTCTTTTTTCATGTCCGGCAAGGGATTGCAACCCTCAGTGTCGCCCCCGTACCGGACCGGGACCGGCCACGGGATTGCAACCCTCGGTGTTGCTCCCGCGCCTCGCTCAGCCAGTGAGCGGGAACCGGTCTGTATGTGGGATCCGAACCCTCGGCGGGAGCACCACCGCACTCCCAAGCGGCGCACTATAGCAGTGTGCCACCGGGCCGGCCCTCAACATATTTTTTTTAGTTTGCCAGGGACTGTTTTAGGCTCTAGAAATACAATTATGAAGAAAATAGGCCAAGTTCCTCTCCTTGTGGATTTTACATAGTAGAAGGGGGTTCAAAAATAAAAATAATTTATCAAGGAAAGTGTCAGGCGTTAGGTAGTTCTATGTGGAACACCGAAATATGGAAAGGACATAAGTGACTTGGGGCTGCATTTGATTAGGGTCAGGGAAGGTCTTGCTTGAGCAGTGACATTTGGATGAAAAAAAGGTACCAGCTATGTGAGCATTAAGAGATAAGAGCATCTAGGCAGAGGAAACAGTGAGGGCAGGGACTCAGAGCAACGCGTTTGAAGTGGTTGAGTTTCAAACATAGAGGCCAGCAGATGCATCTGCAAATAGAAAAGATAAAGTCAAAGACATGGACAGGGCCATATTCAGCACAGCTTTTAAAAACAACAAGAAGTTTATATTTTATACCAAGTTAGTGTAATGTCATCAGAGGACTTTTAGCCGGCTTGTGTCCTCATTTAATTTGTTTTGACAAGATTACATACTAGCTGCTGTTTGTTTGTGAATTTGGGTGAGGGGCAAGTTAAGAGGCTTTTATATCTGTTCAGATGAAAGATTATGGTATCTTGAACACAGGTGGGTAGATTTGGGATGAAGAAAATGTCTCTGACTCTCCAGGTTTAGGATTCATTTATACATGTACTCAGTGCATTAACCCTCTACTACAGAAAACAATTTGGGCACGTTTTAAAGTAAAACAAGTAATTTGGGGGAGAAAAAGACAGATGTGTTGACATAGCTTTTCAATAACATTGTATATAATTACAGAAATTAAAGAATATGGTTTGGTGTCATGGATTACATATATGCTATAAATTTCAAAATGGTACTAGCAGGGCTGCACAGATCTCAGACTTCATTGAAGAGACAAGTTTATGTTAATCAGTATTTCACTTCCAATACTGATAATCTGATTCTTTCTTTCAGGTGAAATTTTGGGATTGTTAGGACCCAATGGTGCTGGTAAAAGTTCGTCTATGAGAATGATATCTGGGATCACAAAGCCAACAGCTGGAGAGGTAGTGAAAAAGGAAGAAATGGTTTCCATTCCCAAAATAGAAGTTTCATGATAAATATAGATTATATCTTTATAAGACTAGACTTTTTTTTTTTGGTCTTTTGGATAAATTTATTTTTTCTCTATTATTATTTTTTTTCTGGGCATTGAGAATTTATAATAGGAGTTGGAATGTCACCAGGAACCAGGGACCTTTTCTTCATCACAGTTTTTAGGATCCACTTGAGCTAATTATTAGGTTTTTTTCCCCCTCATGTAAGACTGTACTTTTGTATTAGTAGCTTAAATCATTTTTCATAAAAGTTACATGAAGTAAGTTCTATAATATTTCTTTGATGCTCAAACAATTTAGGTGTTTATTAGCTAAATGTCAGTTTCTTGAGTGATTGTGTGATTGGAGAAAAGACTACATGTGTTTCTAAAGCTGTTTCATTTTTTTAGGTGGAACTTAAAGGATGTGGTTCAGTTTTGGGTCACCAGGGAGATGACACAGTCAAGTTCCTGGGATACTGTCCTCAGGAGAATGTGCTGTGGCCTGTCCTGACGATGAAAGAACACCTGGAAGTGTATGCCGCTGTGAAAGGACTAAGGAAAGGGGACGCCAAGGTTGCCATTACACGGTACAGACAGGTTGTGTGATTTGTTGGTATCAAGAAGCAGGGAGGCTGGACCATTGATGATAAATTCACTAATAAAGAATGGAGAGTATAAATAATGTGAGTGTCGCTTCTCAGTGTGTTAGTGGTAGAGCAGGGATGGGGGACAATACCTGGTTTCTTGCATTTCTCAAGATCTTAATGAAAATGTTTGTTTAAAATAATTGATAAGAAATCAGTGAGTAAATAATCATGAATAATTATTCATTTCAGTCGCTAACAGAAAACTACAAATGGAATAGTCATTTATTTTCAATTTCTCATTCAGAATTCTAGTTTATCTTAAAAACTGTTCATGAGGTAAAAACAAATTTCATGTTCCAAAATAAGTGGATATTTTCCTTTTATCATGAGTTTAGAATAGAATAATACTACCAAGTTTCCCTCCAGTGCTGTTACTCTTCGTGTGCTTTCATTTTTCCAAAAAATCCTCTCTTGACCTAATACCCTCATCTCACCTTCCATCAGATTAATGGATGCTTTCAAACTGCATGAACAGCTGAATATTCCAGTGCAGAAGTTAACAGCAGGAACCACTAGAAAGGTATGTGTGGTGTCCGATGCTCCCTTGAGGGCTGTCATGGTATGGCAGCAAACAGGTGTTTCTCTGCATTGCAGTTGTGTTTTGCGCTGAGCATCCTGGGAAATGCACCTGTCCTGCTTCTGGATGAACCAACTACAGGCATGGACCCTGCAGAGCAGCAGCAAATGTGGTGAGCATTATCATAACCTTCAGAGCTGTGAGTAAATATTACGTACGGATGCATTTTAAAACTCATCTTGGGAAATTAAACTTTAAACCCACTGGTTCCTGATTCAGCAGAAAAAAGTTCATGTTATTAGACAAATATTTAACAAATAGATTATCTACCCTGCACTATATTCATGTGATATTCCGATATCAAAAATTCTAAATATTTTATTGGAGTTTTAGGTCTTTAATTTGCAATGTTAAAATACAAAAATATTTTGCCTTTTAATTATTGAGATGTCTATAACTGATTCCTTTTTTTCTCTGCTTTATTCCCTCAGAGACTACTTACTTACTGACCCTTTTTTCTCCCCTTTAATCTAATTTGTTTATGCGGTTTTTCAGTTTTTTTCTTTTCTTTCTACTTTTGTATCTGGAGTTTATCCTTTGGACTAATAAAATCTCCAGTCTAGTTTTTTATTTGTGACTGTCCAATAGTTTTCTAGCTTAAAAAAATTGTTATGGCTATTTTATATAAGGATAAAGAGAATTATTATGAATCCATTACTCCCATCACCCAGTCTCAACAGTTATAAATGGAAGGCCAATCTTCTTTCATCTATTCCTCCACCCGCTTCCTTTCCCCACCCTCCAATTATGTAGAAGGAAATACTAAGTGGCATATCCTTTTATTTATAAATATTTCAGTTTGTATGTCCGATAGATAAGGAAGCTTTTTTTAATTTTATTTTTATTTATTTATTTTTTTAACAGACTCAAAATAAAATTTACAGAGTGCAAAAGAAAAATATACAGTACATCTAATAGCTCTGTGACATTTGCAGCTTTAACATTCAGTCTTTTTTTAGGGAGGCACAAAACAAGTCTTAGTACATTTAAAAAGATTAAGATCATAGAAAATATGTTCTCTGACCACAATAACAGAAGGAAATTTAGAAAATTCACAAATGTGTGGAAATTGAACAACACTCTCCTAAATAAGCAATGGGTAAAAAGAAAAATCACAGGGAAATTAGAGAGTGCTTTAAGATAAAAATCAAAGCACAACATATCAAAATTTATAGGATGCAGGGCTCATAAAGTGCTTAGAGGAAAATTTATACTGGTAAACACCTATATTAGAAATAAGAAAAATCTCCAATCAGTGTTGTGAACTTCTACCTTAAGAAAATAGAAAAAGAAGGGCAAACCTAACAAAAGCAAATATTAACAAAGATTACAACAGAAATGTATGAAATACAGAATTAAAAAACAATAGAGAAAATCAACAAAACCGAAAGTTTATTCTTTAAGAAGATCAACAAAATTTGCAAACCTTTATCTCGACTGACCAAGAAAAAAAGAGAGAAGACTGAAATTACTAAAATCAGGAATAAAGCGGGGGCATTATTTCATTGTCACTATGGTTTTTGTGGTGGTAAGACTTAGTTTCTTTCTCTTACTTGTTCGCATTTTTGTTCTACCAGTGAGCTTTGTTCTTGTGTATTCATGGTAGTGATTATTGTTTTTCAGATTCCAGATGCAGGACTTCCTTGAGGATTTATTGTAGGTCTGGTTGTG